TAAGCATCCTTATTTTTACTACTCTGTATGTCTCTGTGTATAAAGATGCATTCCAAGACAAAAATCGCTTAAAATTATATTTAAGAGGAGAAATCACAGTAAGAAAAATACTTGCTACTGCACACATCGTTCTAAAGAATGTAAATACTGAAAATATGGAAATGCAGAAGATGGTTATTTTGGAATTGAGGACTAGCTGCCCTTTCAGAAACTAAAAAGAAGCAAGCCAAAAACAAAGTCCCAACTCTGCAAATACCTTGTATGAATCTTTATTTTAGACAAATGAACAATGCTATTAATTTCTATAGTACTGTTCACATGCCAACAGTTACACGTTGTGTGATAATCTGCAAAAGCCTGCTGAAGGCTGGCTGAATTTACCGAAAATACTTGATTTTGTTAGGCTTATATTTTATACAACCAAAACAGCTCTTAGAACTCTTAAATTAATTAGTATGTTCCCTGTTCTAGTAACTAGTTTGGGAGTTGCATTGCCTGAAATCGTGATCTTTTGTCTTTTTCTGAGAAAGACAGAAATCATAGGAAATGAGCACAGGCAAGGAGCCTTCTCTCACTTTTGAAACACAAGCTGCAGAGCTTGCAAAGAAGTAAAGCTTATGTCTCCTAACCCTCTGCACTGTTATTTAGGATTTACATATTCCAGAACAGAACTGCCATCTTCACAAAATTATAACTGAATTGGTAAACTGAGACAGGATGAAACTCATCAAACAAAAAGCAAATAAGTGCTGCAGACCTTCAGTGTATTGCATAGACAAGCTATTTCCTTGGAATATCTGCAAGGCAAATAAATAATTTTAATAGGTTTGCAAAAGACACATTTCAAGGAGAGAGCAAACAAACCTTAGTCAAAGATCTTGGAGAAACCAGACAGTTTATCTAAGATACTTGTATTTGTCTTCTAGTTGGCTAGACTCTGGTATAATTTGTACCATTGACCTTCATTTAGAAAGGTTATTACTAAAAAATACCAAGGTTGTGTTTTCCTACGCTTGAGGCAAGAACCAATATTCTTGCATTAAGCTATAAATAAAGAATGACCATTAACATTCAAGGCTAAGGAAACCTATAAAGAGGTTTTATTCTGTTGTAACACCACAATGTTTGGCACATTAATGTTAAATTTTTAAATATACCAGAATGTTAAGTATCAGTGTTAAAATACTGTAAGAAATAAGGGGACTATCTAATTTGGTTAGTATCACACTTCAGCTAATGTAACATTGTGGAAACAGCAACAAAAAAGTGATGAAATTTTCACAGCGACTAATGAAGGGGGTAAATAAGGGGCTCGGAAAAAGACAAAGCCACCAGAGCAGGCGATTCCCCAACTCGGGGGGCCCAAAGGCAGAACGTGAAATTCTGCAAGAGGCAGAAGCAAGTTTAATACATAAATAAATGGATAAATAACGCTAATGAAGTGTTTCCGAGGGGGAAGGCGGCTGCGCGTTCCTCCCGCCGGACCGGGGCCATTTCCCCCCGGCCGCCCCGCGCCCCGCCAGGCCGCGCTCCCTCC